AATGTTTCATTAAGTAAAAAGTTAAATATTGCATCTTTGCACTATGTATTTATATGTATTTATATACTATATAATCTATTTTAATAAGAAAATATAATTGTATAATAATAGTTAGCATATATATAGCACTTGTTTTGAACCAGGCATTCAGTGAAGTCAGTACTATTATTAACCCCATATCCAAATGATAAAACTGAGGTTCAGAAATGTTAAATAGCTTACCAAAGACCAAACATCTAATAAATAGTTTTCTTGGGATTAAAACCCAGGCCATTTGGTTCTAGAGTGTGCTCCTAAATGTGATGCTGCACTGGGTATGTTTCAGTAATTCAGGTTTTCTTATGAAAATCCATCATTTCTCTTTGTTTGGGGGAAAATCAAGGTGAAATGGAGAGCATAGATTTTGAAACTAGACAAATGCTGGGTTCAAATACTGAATATGATTTTTAATAGCTCAAAACAGTGGGGATATTATTCAACTTACTGATCATCTATATTCATCTGCAAAATAGAGATAATGATACTTTACAAGGTGGTGGTAAAGATGAAATTAAACTATACAGATCAAGAGATAGAGCCTGGCACTGTTTTGTCATTTAGCTGGAATACTGCAGGAGCACCTGGGTGGCTCAGTTGTTTGAACATCTGACCCTTGATTTTGGCTCAGGTCATGATCCCAGGGTCATGGGATTGAGCCTATGTAAGAGCCTGCTTAAGATTCTCTCTCTCCCTCTGCTCCTCTCTAGCTGCCCCTCCCCCCTGACTTATCTAAAATAATAACAACATATATTGCAGACACCTGAGATCAGTAAAGGAGAGATGAATTATTAATAAATTATGTTTGAGGGGTGGCTGGGTGGCTCAGTCAGTTGAGCATGACTTCGGCTCAGGTCAGGATCTCACAGTCTGTGGGTTCGAGCCCCGCATCAGGCTCTGTGCTGACAGCTCAGAGACTGGAGCCTGCTTCAGATTCTGTGTCTCCCTCTCTCTCTCTCTCTGCCCCTTCCCCACTCGTGCTCTTTCTCTCTCTGTCTCTCAAAAATAAATAAACATTTAAAAAATAAAATAAAATAAATTATGTTTCATCAGCATCCTAATCAATTAAGGATTTAAAAAAATCATGTTACACCAAAACTTCTAGATGCATTAGAAATTTCAACAGAGTGTGTAATATACTAGAAATAAAAGACAAAGACAATGCCAGGATCATAAACATGAAAAAAAAAAACCATCTATCCACTTAACTAAATAAAAATATAAAATATTTATCAAAAGGCAATTTTTTAAAATTACCTAAGAGAGGGAAAGTTATACATAACACATTCAAGAGATAAAAATTTAATATACTTAATTTGTGATGAGGTCTTTCAAATCCAAAGGGAGAAGACCAACTCCAAGTTGAAAATAAACAAAACTCAGACTAATTTACAAAAGAAGAAAATTGAAATGCTCTGTCAGCTAAAAAATTATAAATTTAAAAGACCTCTTTTTCACATTTCAGATCACCAAAATTGAAAACCATAGATAATACCCAGTGTTACAAAGAGCAGTGGAAAATATTATCTATCAAACATTGTTTAGGAGAAGTGTAAACTGACCTATCACTTTTGAAAGATGACGTAGAAAAATACACCAAAATTTATCATATGTTACCTCATTTACACAGGAATCCCACTTCTAAGTATTTAGCCTAAGGAAATAATTGTACTTGCAAAATACTTTATGAACTAAGATCCACATTATGGCAGTGCTAAAAACGTAAAAAATAGAAAATAAATGACCATTAATATGGCAATTATTGGCTAAATGTATTTATATGTATCTTTTTAAAACAATAAGAATGCCACCATGGAAGATGTTCATAATATATTAGACAGAGACATATGGCTGAAGACCATTTAAATCTATATGTTATGATACTGTTTCTATGTGAAGAGATATGCTTCACTACTTATATATCTATAAACAAAAATTACATATTCTTTTTCCATGTTTTTACTGTTTGGAGTTCTAACAATGATAATTAGAAAAATAAATGTAATTTCATTTTGAAAAGTTAATTATGAATTTAGTTTCTCTTGTTTATGTTTAGTTTAAGTGTATATGTACAAATATTTTTAAGATAAAGGTGTATGAGTTTAAATATAACTCAGATTTTGAAGGGTTAATGTAATATAATCTCTTTACTGTTTACGTTTTAGAGTTAAATTTTATATTTAGATATTTGAAGAAACTTCAAACACTTTAATTAACCTACCCAAAAACTTCTACCAACCAGCACTGTCATTTTGCTCATGGTATAGCCATACAAATGAAGGAGACAGAAAATGTTCTAGCTTTTCATATCCTAGAGTTTCTCTCAATCTCAATCTCTTCAAACTAGAAAATCTGCTTTGAAATTTTTGACTTAAAAGTGTAAGATGGCTCAAGCCACTTTTACACTTTACAGATGAGGTGAAATTTTTCTTTTATTGTCATTACTGTTTAAATCATGTTGAACTCCAAAAACAATGTTAAAAATCAAGGCTGCATTGTCTTTTAAGTTACCAAGCCAATACTCACATTTAGAGGATTTTATGGTGACTGTGTATGTAGGCATGTGTGTGTATTCTAGGGATGTGTACATGTGTATGTGTTGTGTGTGCATATGCATATGTATGTGTGTACCTTGTGGTGAATATGTGTGTGCTCGTGTGTATTGTATGTGCAAAGCCTATTAAGAGAGAATATCTTAAAAATTCGATACGTGCAGTGCATTTAAAATGAAGCAAATATTTAAGTTTTCCCATTTGCAAATAGTACTATGGATGATGAAAAGGCTGTAATCACAGATGGGCAACCACTGTAGGCTCAAGGTAAACAGCAGCAGCATCACCTCTCAAGTCAAGTTTATAGGGTAATTACATTTCTGAAAATTCAGGATCCAGTGTACTGTTAGACTGAAATTCAAATTGTGATCAAAGGATTTCATGCAAAACTGTTTACTCTAAAATGTTACAAATGAAAAAAAAAAGATAATGCTTAATTTTATACTAGAGCACCATAAAACTGCTTCTTCTAACTGCTTCCTTTCTTCCCCAAACTGAAAAGTCAACTCTAAGAGCACAGAACAACAACAACAACAAAACAAACAAAAAGCAAAACAAAAACAAAACAAAACAAAACATTCATGGTCTGAAAAAAGGATAAACTCAGTCTAAGTGTAATACTGAAAATTGAAAAAACATGTTACATTTTTAATTTATTGTTATTATTTACTTTTTGGTTGCTCAAAAAGCTTAGAAGTCTTAAAGAAGTATGGAATAATTACATGTTTTACCTTATTTTTTTTTTACATTTTTATTTCTTTTTGCATGTTCTTCTTTCCATTTGCTTTTTATTCGGCTTTATGAAAGATAAAAAGAAGTAAATGTGGGATTTGCAAAATGATTAAATGGGTGAAAGAGGAATGTGTTTCTCTGATTCTTTTATGTTTTGTTCAGGTTTTCTTGTTTTCCTAGTAGTACTACTGTTTTATTTTATTTTGTTTTTTAAATGAAGTAGAAAAATAGGAGACTACAACTATAATCCTAATTTAAGGAAATAGTTAAAAATTCGTGTTGAAGAAGATTCTATTTTACTTCTGTGAATAATCTATTTTGTCTGGGTCATGTACAAACACACGTATAAAAATATGGGATAAGAAGCTTAAGTATTAGAAAAAAACAAGCTTTATGTTACAAATCAAAAGGTATAAAACTATGCAAAGAATGCAGACTAAATAAAAGGATAAATATTATTCAATAAAAACATGCGTATTTTGATATATAATAAGATTTTACATTTCTTGAGTCTATGTGGAACAGAAGAAACAAAACCTCAGGTTGCAATAGGTTTTTTTTTCTGCAAAAAGTATTTTTAAGGGTCCAAAACGGCTAAAATGTGAGTTCCTCACAAATTATGTCATACTTTATGAATTTTGCCACCCTGAACTGCCTTAAACACTTTCAGAAACAAGGTGGGGTACTCATAAGTAAAGTCATTATTTAACTTGGTAAACTGAAATATATAAGCCTCTTAAGAGTTCATATTTTTTTAAAATGTCCTTTACTATTCACTCACTTATAAATACACCTTTGTGACTGTTCCAATGGTCAGACCAAACCAATAAGACAACATCCAATAGCAAAACGTTTCTTAGGGGTTGTGATTTTTAAAAGGACTGATGCGTTATGACCACAGTAAGTATATGTATTTGTAACAGGTCATCTAAATTCTGAGTCTTTTTATTTGATATTTATCATAAGTAAGGCAGACACACATGCTTAGCAGTGGCGCTTGTAGGATGTAGAAGAAAATAGTACTTAGTAGAAACACACAGAAGAATTAAATATTAATCATTGAAATATCAAAGTTTAAGATAGGAATGTATCATTATGTATCCATGAAAACATTATTTGCTTCTGTGTAACAAAGAAATGATGGAGTGAATCAGTAAGTGGCAAAATAAATGTAAAAAAGAAACAATGAACTGGCTACAGATGCATTTATGAAATGAACTTTCTTAACAGCCTCTTTTACACATTTCAGAACACATCTGCATTTTTGCCACCACCCCCCAAAGAGTAAATAGTCTGTTATCCCATGATACCAAATTCACTGAAACCAAAAAGCAAACAGAAAATTCAGTAGGGCAGATTTCCACAAACTGATCACGTCCAAAGAATTACCCAGGATGCTTGTTAAATATTTAAAAGCCCCAGTTCCATTTATATCTATTGAATCTAAGTCTCCACAGGAAGGTTCTTACGATTGGGCAAGATTTGGAAGCACGCAGTATGTTATAAAAATATTCAATAGATTATAAAAAGTCACCCTATGCTGATTAACTACCCCCCTTCTTAAAGGCTGAGAAAAAGAGGGAAACAATCCTGTATCAGTTATTTTTAAGTGTTTGGTCCAACATAAAATGGGAGAAAATGTTCAAAGTTTCTGTTTTAACATCCAAATAATGTACTTACTACAGTTTTCAGCTTTTCTGTTGTCCCGGATCACTATTCTTTGGTTGATAGTGCTGAAGAGTGTTGTCCAATTAATGGTATGATAATAACATAGGTTGCTGTTGTCAGTAATATAGATGTTTCCTGCACTGATTTCCTTCAGGGACTGGAATTGTAGAGAAGTGATGCCCTGTTGTTTGAGGATAAGCAAGGAGAGGCCACTAAAGAGAGGGAGGGGGGAGAACAGAACAGTATTTATATGTATATATTAATAAATATTTTCTGGCCATGACTTACATTCTTGAAGTAAAATAAGGATGTCACATCTTACTCCAAAAAGAATGCAAATAGATCATAAAAAAGAGATTAAATCAATAAACTGTGACCTGAACATTATTTATTTACATGCCATATACCAAGTTTTAAAAGTAATCTTGGGGCGCCTGGGTGGCGCAGTCCGTTAAGCGTCCGACTTCAGCCAGGTCACGATCTCGCGGACCGTGAGTTCGAGCCCCGCGTCGGGCTCTGGGCTGATGGCTCAGAGCCTGGAGCCTGTTTCCGATTCTGTGTCTCCCTCTCTCTCTGCCCCTCCCCCGTTCATGCTCTGTCTCTCTCTGTCCCAAAAAAAATAAAATAAAACGTTGAAAAAAAAAAAAAATTAAAAAAAAAAAAAAAAAGTAATCATTTGACCCCCAAAAGGAAAATATTCATTTTTTGGAAGTATAAATATTAATGATATTTGTGTATCTATTTACATACTTAGTACGAGTATATCTGCTCACTATTTTCCCCACTATCCCCTAACCAAATAATTAAGAGCATCTGGCTGGCTCATTTGAAGGAGCAAACAGCTCTTGATCTTGGGGTTGTGAGTTCGAGTCTCACATTAGGTGTAGAGATTACTTAAATAAATAAAACTAAAAATACTAAATAATTAATAAATGTTTATGGAATGATTGTTCATCTACATAAAGTAAGACCTTAATTCTACTCCATTTAATAAATTTATATATGCTTTCAGAGGGTAAATATTGCAGAGAATGACCACGATATTTAGCTTTAATTTATACCTCAGAAGCCAAAGTGTAATTGTAATAGTTGAAGAATGTATAAGTAAGGATAAGGGACATTAAAAATTGAAGAGAAGAATGAAATTAAGCTAAAAGTTAAAAAAAAATACTCAGAAGGCTTGGACAACTGGGGAAAGCATCTCTAAAAATTAAGTACAACTGTAGTGTGGAAACAAATTATCATTTCAAGGAAATTGTTTTAACATAGCCCACATTTTGTAATTAAGTTCCTTTTCCATTCTCTAAAGAATCATGTGTTTCCCACATTTAAATCAACTAATGAACAATATTTTACATTTTGGAGATCAAAGCTGTCCCCTTTTGTTTTATTTATAAATCTAAATATACTTTGCTGTCAACTCAGCTCAGAAGTTTTTCCATGCGTGTGTGTGTGTGTGTGTGTATATATATATATACATATATTATACATTATACATATATATACATATACATATATTCTTACATCCATATCCATATATATATATCCATATATATATTTGCCTTGAAAATAAGCTGATATATATGTATGTATATATATATATATATATATATATATATATATATATATATATATATATATATATATATATATATATACTTAGTATGTGCATATTCAACTGAGATGTAATTCATTCTCTGAAATCTGTGCTCTCATCTTGTGCTGTTTATTACGGTGTGAATAATGCTTGACAGATTTTTAACATTTGGCTCAACAGATAATAAAAGTTGGTTGCATATAGCATTTGAATAGACTGTATCTCTCAACTATGCTTTTTTATTAAGTACTTTTCCCCTTTATAGTGTAAAACCTCTTACAGATATACCAGTTTTAATAGCAAAATTCAATAATATTTCTGTGAAATATTATTACAGAATATTTGATGATAATATTGATTTAAGGCATCTTTCCTTTTTAAGCAGAAAAAACTAAATCCTTTTATGTAAGTCAACTTTTAACTGTTCATAAATAAGAATCTCATACAGATGAAATCTGAAATAAAATAAAGCAGTGCCTTAATAAATATTAACTCATTCATTTTTACTATGTGAATAAAAATATTGATATTGGGCCTTTAGAACAGTGTCCTTCTGAGCCCTGATTGTTCTGTCCACTTTTAACCTGCATTGCACTTAGACTGGTGAGCCAAATCCTGAAATATCAGCCCTGTGATGGATGGTTCAAACGCTGGCACCAGAAACAGAACAAGAGCCTTCTGGTGAAACAGCATGTGTAACCCACACATGTAAGCCAGTCCCAAGTCATCCAATGCCATTTTTTAGTTATAATAACACATGTCTGGAATAAAAACATTTGATTTTATGGGGTCCTATTATGTACTCCATCCTACAAAACACTAATAATTGTTTTAAGTGATAAGGAGTTGAAACTCAAACTGCTTATTCTGCATACTTTATTTATTTATTTATTTGGTATCCTCCATACTGTAAAGCGCAGTCGGGGTATTTATCATTAGGCTTACCTTTGGAATTAAAAATGGAAACCCAATATTTGTAGAATAAATATAAAATAAAGGAGGCTGAAACTGTGACATACGTATGCATGATGCTACTTTTGAAATATGAAATACTTGTATCTCTGAACATATATACACCCACCTGTAGAGTACTCTTCCACCAATGGTCACCAGGTTAGAAAAAACACTGAAGTCAGTCATGTTTGGAGGCCATGACTGTATGTTCAAGAAACCTAAAAAGATAAGGGCAGTAAAAAAACAAAACAAAACAAAACAAAAAAAACCCCAAAAACTCAGAATATCATTGCCTTAGTAACCACATTTAATATTGATCATTCTTGAAATATGGTTAAAATGTATCGAAAGATAGGAGGTAAAAATAAAAACACTCAATATTCCTATTTTGAGTCATTCTATCTCCTATTTCTTCTTCCAAGATTGAGGGCCTTACTCAAAATTCCCGGGCCAACAATACTCCATATAATGAATATCAAACTAATGAGCCAAAAATCTAGGTTTCTCAGACACATGGAATCATAGAACTATACATATTAAAAGATTTCAATTATTCTTAATTTGAAACATTTTTCTAAAATCAAAATACTTAGTCCAATTAGATAAAGAGAAAAATACAGCTTTAATTTTTCTGGAAATCCTTTCCTACTTTACACTTATAACACCATTTGTCTACATTGCATCCTAATGCATTCATGTATATATTTAACCTTTCTCATTTAATTTGCCACTCTTTGACATAAATTCATATCCAATTTATGTCTATGAATCCCCTATCAGCTAGTATATAACAGCCCTGAACATATTAGGTGCTCAATAAAATATGTGCTAAATGAATGCTCCATGTCATCCGTGCCCAACAGTACTTGTGAAAACTAAATAGCAAAACATGGATTCAAAGACCAGTTGACAACAAAAAAGTAACACAAAAATTTCAAGGATATTTTATTTTATAAATTCCATGGGCTTTCCAAATGTGCACAGATAACATTTCAAATAGCATGCATTTTTAAAATTAGAATTGGCCTTGAAAATAAGTTGATTTCAATATCATGTAATATTTTCAACAAAACACTAACATTCACAGAGTTCCTAGCACAGCAATCACACTTTTGAAACTTACCTGTTATCTCTCGAACGGTCCGAAAGACATTCAGTTTCTCTGGGTCTATGGCTTCAATTGCATTGTAAGGGTCCCTAGCGAATCAAGAAGAGACACAGCCAGATTTTAAATTACATAAAGGAGTGAAAACGTAAGAAATTGTGACTATAGTTATTGCACTCAAATTCAATTTTAAGTAGCAGTAGAAAGCTTAGCAATGTCTTGTCCAGTTTTCCACACTACAGAGGGAGAAGGATTAAAAGGTGCTTTGAGGACCTTTTTGATGATATGAGCTCTTTGTTGAAGGCTCTTCTAGACCTAGACAAATGGTCCAGGTTGACTATCCTAAAGAAGTCTCCAAATAGAACAAATCCATTTATAAACAATTTTATTTCATTTTGCCTTTTAAGGTTGTTCTTAATTAGGAAAAATACACTCTGTGAATAACTTATGGTGAGAACAACTGCCTTTTGGGCTCCTCAAAGCATTCTAAATTGCTAACAGCACCTACAATTTCATTAAATGGATATTAAAAAAGATGAAGTCAAATTTTTCTTTTTTGCTGTATCCTTACATTTGTTAGTGAATTTTTATAACATTGTATGAAAGTTACTCTTCATAAGGATTATTTAGAGCAGTCTTATTCTTATCCGGGTTATTCATATTTGCTTTCATAAAAACAGGAAATATTTGCTTCCATATTTATGAATCATACTAACATCTGAAATAAAATTTATAACAAATTTAATAATATCCCAAAGGTGTAAATTTTGGAGATTTAAAAAATACCATTTCCTAATGCATAAATATATTTTGGCAATTAATGTTATTGACATATAGATGCCCAGGCTTTTAAAAATATGAACATAAGATACCTTTTAAAATTAAATATTTAATGGATTTTTTCAGAAGTTTTCTTCTTAGGAAGATGCCTTTCATGTAAATATACTGAACATTCAAAATAATTACAAACTTGAATCTTAAACACAATACCAAACATTTCTCAGTAATTCAAGTAATACCTTATGCTGTTTTAAGGAATACATTTTTTTTTTTTTAAGTTTTATCACTTTGAAAGACAACCTTGGAAATCCTGGGCAAGTAGAGACCTCATATCACTATATACCCTTCAGAGAAAAATTATATTCATTGACCACTTCTCAAAAAAAAAAAAAAAAAAGAAAAGAAAAGAAAAGAAAAAAGAAAGCAAATCTAAGAACAATGAACAGGTTTTCTTAGAAGCATGTATCCACCTGTAGCAATCAAATGAGTTTCATTCTTGCTGTGTACATCTGTTGTTTTACATCTTTGAGAACCTTCTTTTTTATTTGGGGAGTAAACAATTGGATAGAGTGATATATTGGATGCAGCCTTAATAGGGCTATCAATCAAGGTGCTCCACAAACAGATAGGCATATGGTCTATCTTAGGAATCTGAGTCTAAACCTACAGACATTTATTCATCTTAGCATTAGAGCCTTAAAAACACTATTAGCTCCAGTAACCTTGATCTCTGGAACCCCATTGTACTGGCTCTCTCAACTTGGTTCATCTGGGTATGCTCCTATACCACGAAGCATCCTATATCTTAAAAAACAAACAAACAAACAAACAGGCAACTACAGAAACTCTGCTTGATTAAAAACAGTTTCAAACTAAGAAGTGCAATTGACACAACATAATACTAGTTTAACGGGGAGTGCTATGGAAGGCTTGGAGAAACCCTGTAGTTTCCCCCATAACTCACACATAATTAAGATTTTCCTCAATGTGATATGAATGTCTCTCAAAAGCTTAAAGTCTAAATTAAATGTTCTACTACACTTGTTCTATTTATAAATGAAGATACATTGAATGAATAACTATGCTTTTGCTGAATATGAAGCCAAAAAATTAGTTCACCATGGGGCAAAAATCTTGTTGTTACCATTTTTTAATGTGCAAAGACTTCTGTACGTAGACGTATCAGATCTGCAGTAGAATAAGCTTTCAACATTTGTTCTCTGATGGAAGGCAGTATATAGAACAGCTCTGGTCATATAATCAAATATCTTGGCTTTATTGAGAAACACTCAAAATTCAGGGCAAGCACACAATAATGGGGTCAGTCCAAACCTATACTGAGAACACTTCTAAGTTGCCAGGAATGAAATGAGTTCTGGAATGTTCCAATGAAGCCCAATGGACCACAGAAATTTTATATACTTAATTTGAGAGATTCAGGACTCTCATAAAATAAGTTGACAGAATCCTACTTACCAACTTCAAACTACCTACAGGGAGTTGCATCTTATAGACACTTGAAATCCATAGTGCTTTAAAATCAAGAAATTCCCTAGCTAAATTCAGAGCCATGTGAAAGAACATTATGTCCACCCTGTCATTGTATTTGGTGATCCAAAATAAAGCTCAGGATAGAGAGAAACATATTTTTACAATTCCACTGAAATTGCTTTATTTTTCACTAAACCCATTATCTCTTTTCCATTGTTTATCATCATGATACTGTATTATCTAAGCACTTCGTGTCTGTGTCTCATTGTGACACAGCATGAACATGCTTATTTGGTGAGCATTTTGTTACTCTAAGTACATGCACATGACCATTGTCAAACATGACAAAAGATGGAAGGTGAACATTCCTATGGATAACACTGATCACAGGTTTGCCTGTGGTTCCCATTCTAAATAAAAGAGCAAGAGTGCCTAGTCTATTTCTGGCAATAGCACTATTGTGCTAAAACATGCCAATCAAGTTTCTTGAGTTCTTGAGACACCTGGGCGGGGCAGTCAGTTAAGCGCCTAACTCTTGATTTAGGTTCAGGTCATGATCTCACGGTCATGAGATCCAGCCCCGAATCAGGCCCTGTGCTGAGTAGGAGCCTGCTTGGGATTCTCTTTATTCCTCTCTCAGCCCCACCCCCCAAAACTAAATAAATAAAAATTAAAAAAAAAAAAACTTTATTGAGTTCTTTTATATATTAAAATTTTAATTGACAAATTGACAGTAAGCTTACTTATTGCAGAAACTTGTTTCTGAAAAGTATAATCTCATTTAGTTATGATTTTTGCCTATTTAGTTTTTTTAATTTTTTTTTAACATTTATTTATTTTTGAGACAGAGAGAGACAGAGCATGAACGGGGGAGGGTCAGAGAGAGGGAGACACAGAATCTGAAACAGGCTCCAGGCTCTGAGCTGTCAGCACAGAGCCTGACGCGGGGCTTGAACTCACGGACCGTGAGATCATGACCTGAGCCGAAGTTGGCCGCTTAACCGACTGAGCCACCCAGGCGCCCCTTACCTATCAGTTTAAAGAAATACCTTAGCTATTTTACCCAAAGCATACATGAATTTAAATTAAAAAAAAAGAGAGGGAAGACTGAAGGTAATAGGAATTGAGGGAAAACATGTCTTTAATTTACCAGAAGTTTTTTACATAAAGGACTCCATGTTACTCACATTTAAAGTCTCTCTCTACATGCACACATTGTATGCATGAATACACATAATGCCTATACGTTTATAAGATGTCTTAGGCTTACTGAATTAACTTTTTATCAGTACTTTCCTAAGATTAAGAGAAAGGCTTCAGAATATATGTTTCATACTGGCATGAGACTGGGAATGAGAACTATCACATATCACATATATATTTGTCCTGGAAATCCCTTATGTATTATAGTTGAGACATAACACTATTAATTATAATGTTAATATTAAAATATTCCAAGCTATGTACTATTATTAAGAAGAAATAATAATCTTCTGAACTAAGGGATATGACTTATTGCCATGAAAATAACTTTGTCTTTATTTGTTTTTCAATAGTCTACAAAATAATCTGTTACACTGTATGTTGTGCTATAAACTGGATATAGTCATTGAGATTTTTGTTTAGCACTGCCTTCTTGGTTATTTTCTTTCTCTCTCCCCTTCCTCTCTCTCTCTCTCTCTCTGTCTCCTTTTTTTTTTTTTGTACCATTTAATGTTTTACAAATATGCCAGGTACTTGACTAAGCACTTAAAAATAATTTTTGTTTTTAAGCCCTACAACAACCAGAGAAGGTAGGTATTTATTTTAATCCCTACAACATCCAGAGAAGTTTATTTAATAAACTCAACTCTCAACTTTACATAAGAAACTGAGCATTTGACATATTATGGAAGCCACGTAACTCAGTAAAATTGTCTACAGTGGAGATTCAAATCAGTCTAGTCTGGATCAAGTTACTGAAGTAGGAAATTTAACTCTTACTTTCTGAGCTCATTTTTTAGGAGAGGTTTTGTTTACCATTATATTTTCAATCATGTGAGTCAATTTTCTATAATTCATTTTCACCCGAATCAGTTAGCAAGGTTGTTTCCCTTGAAAGTCAGGATGCATCTAGTATTTTGTAATGATTCTTCTCATAAATTTGTGAATATATGGCATCTATTGTGCAATATATGTTTTTTATTGTGCAATATATTTTTTATATCTTGACATATCTGCTTCCCTTTTTTCCCCATTTCTTTATTAATATTTACTCTATTCTAGATGTTAGGTCATTCAGGATATGTAAAACCATTTTACAATTAGTATAAATCCAGTCTTTTGATAAATATGCTCCATAAGGAGCCAAAACTAAAATAACAATTTCGAACTGCCCTAGATGGTCTTTTAAACCTCCCCATGCATGGTTTATCTGTAAGATTAACAATCAGTGGGTGCTTTTGTTGGTTTCATTATCCTTCTATACTCACAGAATTATTGCTGTGGTTCTCAATGGGGGCAATATTACCCTACTGAAGGGAAGCTGGGACATTTGTAGAGGTGTATTAGTTGTAACAGATTAGGGGACACTACAGGCTTTTAGTAATAACCCCAAGCACCAAAAAATTAAAGTCTCCTTCACAGAAAAGGTTTGCCTTATGTCTTGAACAACCTTAAAATGTCCCACCTAATTAAGGACTCGTGCACAAACTTCATAGCTGATCATACTTTGACTGTGTGTAATTCTGTATTCATGTTGCCTCTATTTCAATGATATTTAATTCCATCTTCCCCTTGTCATATAACAAATATGTCTGTTACTTATTACCTATTTCAGTGGTCAGCTGTTACTCTGCTCTTTATTTCCCCATACTTCTGGCACAAAATGACTTCTATTCTTATTTCTAATAAATCCAAACTTTCATTACAAAGTAGAAGCTGAGCATTTTCCTATCAATACATATTTTATTATACATTACTTTTGTTGTATTTTTTTTTTTTTTAATTTTTTTTTCAACCTTTTTTTATTTATTTTTGGGACAGAGAGAGACAGAGCATGAACGGGGGAGGGGCAGAGAGAGAGGGAGACACAGAATCGGAAACAGGCTCCAGGCTCCGAGCCATCAGCCCAGAGCCCGACGCGGGGCTCAAACTCACGGACCGCGAGATCGTGACCTGGCTGAAGTCGGACGCTCAACCGACTGCGCCACCCAGGCGCCCCTGTATTTCTTCTTTAAATTACAGTTGGAGAATTATAATCACTTCATAAAATTATTGATATATGTAGGCTATATTATCTATGATTTTTATTTCAGAATTCAAAAGGAAGTATGAAAATACTATGTATAAGATGGATGTTGCACCTGATTAGAATGAAAACAACTTTCCTAGTGCAATTTATGACATTATATTTTCAAATATTTCCCCACACTGATGGACCTGAGGCCAATTCATTTATTATGCCCATGTTAAAGCAGGCAACGTGAATTAAGTGGGTATGTCTTCCTATTTCTCAGAAGATGCTGTTAACATGATATGATCTTTCATTCATGGTGATATGTGCTTTTGAAAATAGTTACAGTGAGGATATATTGTTTTAGTAAATGTCATACATGCATTCAATTATATAGGTGCACTTAAATGTAGACCCAGGTCTCCTACCCAGTAGGGCCACGGAGGTGAGGATAGCAATGCGAATGGGTTCGAGGGTCAGTAGCAACTATGGTTAAGTTTGGTTATCCCATCTCAAAATGGCTAGAACTGGGGCACCTGGGTGGCTCAGTTGGTTGGGCGACCAACTTCAGCTCAGGTCATGTTCTCACAGTTTGTGAGTTTGATTCCCGCGTCAGCTCTGTGCTGACAGCTCAGAGCCTGGAACTTACTTCAGATTCTTTGTCTCTCCCTCTGTCTACCCCTCCCTTGCTCACACTCTGTGTCTCTCAATAATAAATAAACGTTAAAAAATTTTTTTTAAATAGCTAGAACTACACAGCTCCAACAGATTGTTGCCATATAGGAGGATGTGCTAAGGGTAACCAAGTCTACATATTTTAAATGAGAAGTTAGAAATCTTGATGATATATATTTATTTTGTAAACATTGTTTGGGATGAATATAACATACCTGGGGCAGAAAGTGTGGACATACCATTACAGTATCTGGCATGAACCCATATTAAAAGCTACATTTTAAAGTAATGGTTTATGCAATAAGATCTACTATAATTTATTTGTATGGAAAGAAATACTTTGTTCTATTTCTCTCACTTTTCCTATTTGGACACATTTATCCATGATGTGTTAAATTATTTTGCTTCTAGAAATGATGTGATATATGTTTAGAGTTAAGATTTTGAATTGAAATATGTGAGTAATATTCTTTATCTGTAGCCTGTAGCACTAATATTTAGGGATTAAGAGTAATATAGATAAATAGATAAAATATAAAGTAAAAATATTGACATTTTTATTACAATTGAAAAAATACAAACTTGGTTGTTTTCCCAGTTAAAATCAGCAGGTGGTTCTGTAATGAAGGAGCCAAGAAAATGTTACAATTTTTATTGCTAAAATGAAATTCATTTAATAGATTTCGTATAATAATACTAATTTCCTAACCTAAGGAAAGAGAAAAAGATACATCAAGGCAAAGAGAATTTCTAAAAGTTTAAGAGAATTTCAACTTACTGATTTGTTTTCTATGAGAGATTTTTTTTTAATTTTTTTTAATGTTTATCTTTATTTTTGAGACAGAGAGAGACAGAACATGAGCAGGAGAGGGGCAGAGAAAGAGGGAGACACAGAATCTGAAGCAGGCTCCAGGCTCTGAGCTGTCAGCACAGAGCCTGACGCAGGGCTCAAACTCATCAACTGCGAGATCATGGCCTGCGCTGAAGTTGGACGCTCAACCGACTGAGCCACCCAGGCGCCACTCTATGAGAGACATTTTAAAAGAAACATTAAGGGAGCCTGGGTGGCTCAGTTGGTTAAGCATCTGACACTTGATTTTGGCTCAGGTCATGATCTCATGGTTTGTGAGTTCCAGCCCCACATTGGACTCTGTGCTGGCACCATGGAGCCTGTTTGGGATCCTATCTCTCCCTCTCTCTCTGCCCCTCCCTGCTTGTGCTCTATCTTTATCTCTCTCAAAACAAATAAATAAACTTAAAAAAAAAAGGAATATTAACTTATGTTTCCTTGAACTAATCAGTTAGAGTCTGAATGAAATTCCTCACTGTACCCATTGATACAGTTTCCCTAAGCATATCTAAAAATATGTCAAGCTTTCTGAAATTTGTAGATTTGAGGAGAATGTCCTACAAATACATTTTAATAAATATATAAATGTATATTGTCAAATATAAGTAGTTACTAAACTCATAGTCTGAATATACCTCAAAACTGTGGTTTTTACTATCACTGATGGTAAAATCTGCCATTTGACTTTGCTGGAGAGGAGCATTAATGTCGGGCAGAACTCATCTGGGCCAAAAGGAATCAAACAGACAAAGCTAAAGAATCCTTTAAGCTTTGTCTACACTTTATAAAATAATTTTCTGCAAAAATTTAATACTGACCCATGAATACCAGTGACAAGGAAGATCAAATTCCCATTGATTTTGGTGCAGTTTATGAATTTGTCAATGTTACTGGAATCCACGGTCTGAGCTGACATCAGTGATCCTGTGCCAATGCCATCACAAGCTGTAGAAACAAGACTCACAGTCAAGAAGGTGAGAAACTTTGATCTCAGTCAAGAAATCATTGCATTTTTATTATAAAATAACAGTTTTTTTCAATTATAAAATGGAAAAAAAAAGTTCATCATAAGAAATAAACTGTTTTCTAACATAAAATAATCATTCATTCATGCAACATTTACTGATGGGCCTACTTTAAAATATTGTCCCTGCATTATAGTCTAGTGGCCATGACTCATAAAAATCATATCTTATATCAAGTCCCAGTATACCCACACAGCACATACGTAACTCAAACAACTTTTAACAATCAACACTAGCCCTTGCCACATAAAGCCAACTATTTTCTCATCTGTTCTAAGATATCATTTTTAATACTTTTAAATCACTTGAGGAAAATTATTTCATGGCCTAATGATGGTCTACAACCTGTGGTTTTAAAAATATTGGTCTTATTAAGAATATATATTAAACAAAGTACTAGTGAAATGAGTTGTAATCAGAATCAAGAGCCATTTAAGTATTTACATTTAAATTCTTAAATTGAGTGTTACCTACACTTTCTGAGCACTACTTAAAGACAAAACAAAACAAAGTATGTGTATTTGTGTGGGTGTGTGGAGGGGGTGAGGGGGGAGAAAGGGAGAGAGGGAGGGAGGGAGGGGGAGAGAGAGAGAGAGAGAGAGAGAGAGAGAGAGAGGAGAGACAAAGAGAGAATGTAGTCTAAAAGTAAGTCTGAAGTTTGCCCTTTTAAAAGGCACTTTTTGATACTTTGGAAAGCTTAATATCGTTCAGAAAATTTGGACTCTACTTTCATCCTGCTTAATTTAAGTTTCATTCTGGTAAGGAATTTGAGTACTGCAGCTAGAAGGGATTTCTTTCTCCACTAATATTCTATGACATGGATTATCTGCAACATTTATTTAATACTTACAGTAAACTTTCTTGTCATTTTATAATCTCTCAAGATAGTTTTGAAGACCTGGAGAGTAAACATCATGTTATTTGTCCCTTTGCACCCCTTCATATATACAGCAGATCATTTAGCGTAGAGTGGCAAGCGACTAAGATGGGTTCTTGATGCTAAAATAATCATGTGATCCCTTGTTATATGCATACTTCTAAGATCTGCTACATATAAAACAAAACACAACTTTTTTCCTGTGTTTCTATCAAAGTGCAGTCTGAATTTTACCTGCATCATTTACTATAGATCATTCAAAATCAATAATACACACTGTTGAGACAGTCAGTACTTTGGGGAACTATTCAAAGCCCTGGGAAAGTGTGTGAGGGAAGGTTTGGTATGGGAGTGATGTGTTCAGAGAAGCGAACTTAGCCGGTCCATTAAGAAGTGCAAGGAAAAACCTTGGTGTAGGTCCCAGTTCTAGCCAAAAATAATCTCAGCTGTCACTCACCTTTTGGGCAAATATCAGTGCAAGGTTTACACATTTTAATCCCATTTTCTTCTACTTCCATCTTGGAACTAGGGCAGGCACGCACACAAGAACTGGAATCCACCACAAAGTTATCTGATTTTAAAAAAGGTAAAATGAGCAATAATGGTGATGCTCAGCAAACAACTTCAAAATAAGGCATTTTAGGGCTTGACAATGATTGGCATCATTGGTAGTATACACGTCTCTTTCCTTAAAACATCTCCGCTTAAATATCTCAGCCTGAAATAGAATCTATGAGCATCCACATTCAAATCCAAGGGCAGCGTGTGTTAACAATGGTTAGTACTTGCTTGATTACTGCTCCACATCCTGAATTGCCCCCAAGATAGAGAGAATTTCTTTTATAGACTTAGGAAACTACATGACATTTAGTTTGTGTTTTTCAATAGTTCCACTTCATTTCATGTCATGATGAAAGTTTGAAGCCTAAAAATACTTCAAGTTACATGAGGCACAAATGAAGCTGAAGTTGAATTGCCTTGGATCAAGAAAGTGCACTTCATATCCAGGAGGAAATGTTTAAAATGTGTTCTATCTTTCAGTGGAATGTCATATAAACTGTTCCCTAGTTTTATATGAAGAAACAAAATGGGATTTGAAAGGCAGCATCTTAGGAAAGGTATACTAAATAAACCAGGTATATACAATTACCTGATACAGTGGTAAAATGTTTAGGGGTCCAGTGATCTGGAATATGCCATGACATTTTCTCCTCCCAAAAAAAGAACAAATCATTGCATCGAAAGCCTCCCACAATAAAGAGAAAACACAATACCTGCTAGGCCACTTTATATTTCAAAGGCAGTATCCTTCCATATCTGGGAATACTGCTTCTGGCCTGATATTCAGTGGTATGGAAGGCTTTTGGCCTTGAAGGGGGCTCAGATCAGGAAAGGCATATCGTGCAAGTCCAGTCTGGGATGCAAGCAATTATGCGACTTGGGTAATAAAACCCAAGAGGCTATCGGTAGTAGGAGTGTCTGTTGTGGGAAAATAAGTCATGTGGAGTTATGGCACGTCCCAGCGGGAAAATCATATTGAGACCTCCACAATTCTATAGCTAAGCCACACAATCTGTAGCACATAATCGTATGCTATTTAATAAACAACTCCTGATATGCTTCTGGCTCCTGGTAGAGATAGAGCACCTAACCATGGGTTATTGATTGACCTTCTAGTCAGAATTACCCATCACAGGGGCACCTAGGTGGCTCAGTCAGTTAAATGTCTGACTCTTGATCTCGGCTCAGGTCATGACCTCCTGGTTCATGAGTTCGAGCCCACGTAGGGCTCTGCAGCAATAGCACAAAGCCTGCTTGGGATCCTCTCTCCTTCTCTTTGACCCTCCCCAACTCGTGCTCACTCTCATTTTTGCTCTCTTTCTCTCCCTCAAAATAAATAAATAAACTTAAAAAAATTAAACAAAGGTTTGCCCATCATGCATCAGGTTTTATTAGAACCATGATGTCATAATGTTGGCCATGTTCAACAGGAATCTACCCCAAGATAGAAGCAGTATATTTAAGATTGGATGTGAATCATGGCAGAGGCATAAGTAAACACATAAGCAGGTAGCCCAGACTCCTCGTGCTGGTACCTCTCACTCAGCTCATACCTATGTCTGCGTGGGGGCCAAAAGAGGGCACTTGTGAGAGTTAACAGACGAAGACAAAAATTAAGTTTGCTATGTGGGTGCAAGCCGCTCAAAATGAATGGCAGTGGCCCTGCGGCTCACTCAGGAGCAGACTTGAAAGACAGTGGCAAGGAAAAAACCTACCAGTGGGCATAGTTCTGGATAGTTCAGATGATCACTTACTTTGTGCGGAACACACAGTAAGTATGGACTTACAGTAAGTATGGACTCATGAGCAGTAGTTTGCCATGGGAGAAGAAATATTAGGAAGTCTGGGACTGAAGGAAGTCTGCGGTGGAGGGATGTATATGAATCCATGGGAGTGGGCAGTGAAGATCTTTGCATTCCCAGTTAACATCCACCAGAGGGCATCCACCACAACAGAAGGCACATTGTTGACACTGCATTGCAGCCTGTTCCCTTCCTTCTTTTTATCCTTCTGTAGTCATCCTGAGAACACTCCTCCTTAAGAACCTAATCTCTGTGTGAGGAGAACCAAGCCTGCAAGCCTCTACAGTTTTGCAGCGATATATATCAAGTGGAGTAAATACAAATTATAAATACCCTCATATCAGTCAGGTACAGATTTTGCAGCCAAACGAGTTGCAAAAAATATTTGTCTGTAATTTTTGAATGTTAGAATTCTGGGTTGGAGATTGTGGACCAGTATTTAAAAGCTAAATGTCTTTGTTTTCCCAAAATAGTTCATGCCTCATGAGCAGGGCCCTTCAAATATTTGAATTTTACATAGATAAATACTGAAGTGTTTTTAAATCAGTCTGTAATTTGATTGACCTAAACTATTCCAAGAAAGGAAATTTATGAGGTATCTAAGGAAACTGGGCATGTAATTTCACAAAATAGTTCTCCACTTGCCACAATTTAGGTGTTAAAAGCTTATATGCATAACTATTCTTTTAACCAATATAAAAGTATGTAATAATAATGACGAGAATTGTCATTGTTTTCAAACACTTGTTTTTTATATACTGTCCCTCTGAATCTTATTCCCCAAACCTTTGATCATTATAATAACTCTAGGAAAGACAGAACCATGATTATTACTATCCACCTCGTAAGGAGAATACAGAAAACTAAATAGCTCATTTAAAATCACATAAGTAATAAGTGGGCAGAGCCAGAAACCATAACCACTCTAATCCTATGTCCTTCACACTTCCTATTCAATCACAGACACAAAACAAGAAAACATAATAGCGGTATGATGTAGATTGTAAAACCTTCTTCTTTTAAATGAGTATGTGGACAAATGTAGTCATTCTTTTTCTTAGGTAAAACAATGAAGAAATAATGTCCCATTGCTCACTCTGGAGCAAACGTGAAGACATACATTATACTGAATTCTTGATGAAAGTGAAGCTGGTCACTTGGAATTCCCAGGATGAGTTATCAATTTTGTAAAGATCTGTCAACATGCCCTTCACATCTATTGTTATTGTTTAAGATTAGATTTGATATTAAAACTATCATGCTACACAATCTATTACAAATAAGTAATCAGAAATGATATTAGGTAAAAATTCATTGTGATTAGAAGCAGACCTCATTCATTACAAAGCTTGCTGGCACTTAACTAATCACTTTTTTGAGAAACAGTATCATGTACAAATACACTGAGGTATAGTGAAAACAGTGAGCTTAGAAGGCAATGACACTACATTCTAACTTTAAGCATGACACTCCTTTGCTGAGACTTTGGACCAATCACTTTAATTTTTTGAACTTTAATTTTCTTATTTGTGAAATGGTAGCAATAGGACCTAAATCCAAGTATATCCAACAATGTTATTGCAAGTTTTAAATTACAATAAATCTATATGAAATTTTTTGGTTTTTAAATGATGATCTCATTAAATTGGCTATTCTCATCTTGTTACTTACGTGGGCATTTCTTGACACAAAATGCTCCATATGTATACTTTGCATTGAAGTTATGTTCCAGCTGAAAGGTGGTTGGATTGTAGACAAAAGTTTGGGGACATTGAGTAACACACGCTCCACTGTCATTGAAATTCATGCAGGCCTGCAACATAGCAATTATTAATTTCATCTAAAAATAACCTTCATAACTTGTTAAAAGAACATTGCTGTAACAGCTTTGTGAGAAGGATGTATTCTTTATTATTATATTTATATTTTTACACATGTGTTCTATACTTATTTCACAAAAAGTATAAAATTTGACACTTTTTGGTCATTAAGTGCTTAGTGTTATGTTCTAACTTGTTTTGGACTTCTAAAATTTTATAAAACTGGTTTTCCAGTGCCAATGAATATACCATCTCTACAAAGTTATTGATGTTCAAGTTACTTAGTCTCTGTCCAGTGGTCTCCAAATTAATAATTGGTTTAAGTTATTAAAATTAGCTCACAGTGAAAAAAAATTTTGACTCACACCATTCAAAGTGTTTATGCTGAGTCTCAGAGTCTGGCACTGGCAACTGACTTTCCAATTCTACAATCTAGATTTTCCTTAAAGCTGGTGTTTGGAAAGTTCAGTGCCGGAAGCAGCATGAGAAGTACATTGGTCATCACTGTGTGGTGAGGAAACATTGGTGAGGAGCCATTTACACTGGACTTGAAGAAAAGGTTTTGGAAGGTGACTAGTCCGTGTAAATACAGAGTATTTGATGCTGAAATGAAGGGAAGCAGACATACTTAGCTCATGATTAAATAATGTGCTGCCATTTCCTGTGTGGCTTTCATCATAATACCACACCATTTAGTAAAAGCCATCAAATTCAAATAAAACAGTTTGTTTCTGCTGACTTACCTATTTGCATTGAGACTTCATTTGTTAATATGTTCAAATGCATTTGATAAGAATTAAAAACAATTTTGCCACCTGAGAGGTATTTGATATAAAATATATGTAACATACATATACATACAAATTATACACACACACACACACACACACACATATATATATATATATACACACACACACATATACAAACATGCCTTTCAAAAGAGTGGATGAACTAATTCTCTTTATTGAACAACTTAAACCTTCAGAGGAATAATTTAGGCCTTGGAAGGTAAGCTCATATGAACTCTAGCTATATTTTATATTTCATCATAGATTGTATGTATGGTTATTAATAAGCACTAATTCATTTTGTTTCTTCAAAACATTTTCTTCATCAATTGTTGTTTTAGCAAGTGCTTCATCACAAACATGACAATTCCCTGACAATGGCCTACTAGATGCATAATCAGAACGAGACTCACTCATGATACATTATTCACTACGATGACATTTTCCAGGAAGAATCTATTAAAAAGCAATCAGGAAAACTCAGTGAGTTTTAATTTATGGCTATAAAACTTCATGTGTCCTCATAATTGCTTTACGAACATACTTTATGGAGTGTTGTGCACAGACTGCTTGGCAACAAACGGACATAAACCAGAGGAATCAAACAAATTTACCTTCCAGACTGCGCACAAAACAACGGAACTTACACCAAGGCCTCGGTCTGGCATTCTTGAACATTCTGTACCAAATGCCAAAGTGGAGTCATTGGACCATTCCATAAAAGTAATGAAATGAGAATTCTAAGGCTCACCAGGCACTCTGCTTATCATGATAATGGAACCATGAAAGAATGGCTATTGTTTGTGTTTCTTGTTGTTACTGCTTTGGAATTGTTACTATAACACCTGTTCAGTGTCCCCCGCAACAGGCTTTACCCTGTATCAGGTGATAGGCAAGGGAAAGCGTCTCACTTCAAAACCTGCTGAGCATCCTCCTTAAATTTTTGACATTTTTCTTTTCTTTACTTCTTCTTCCCTACTCACTTCTGCAATATATACTTTTGTTTCAATATAGGATTAGGGTAGAAAAATTAAGTTTCTTGTAACATTAAGAAAATTAAGAAATGACTATATCATAAGAGGTTTAATTTATGTTTTGCCTATTTTCAGAGTTGTGTCATTTAAAAAATGTTCAATTCTTAATATATATGTGTATTCTCTGGATATTTCAGAATAGGAAAAAATGAATATCTCTGTTCATTGTTAATAGCAAAAACAATTACTTATTTTATTATTTTTAGCATAAAATGAAAACAATGTCTGTGTTTATGAAATTGTGGTAACTATAGTTCACAGAATTGTCTGTATTCAAAAGAGCAGAAATAACTGTATTGGGGATATTAAAATGTAATTAAAACATGTCCCCAAAAAGCTATAAATGTTAATTTTAAGGAAAGAAAACTGTCCTTTTCTAAAATAAAAATCACACTGATTAGCATATAAATTGCTTTAAGCATGCATTTGTAAATCTTATAAATTTTGAATAATATTAACTTGTAAACAAAATATACTGGGAAATAGTTAAATGAATAAATTTATGAATAATCTTGAAATCAAGAGCTATAATCTTGAAATTTAAATTCAAGAAATAAAATTCAAGAGCCCCCACTCAGAAAATTCAATGATGCAACAACATAAACAGGTAATCAATGTAAATTTTGGAAGGGCACTATTAGCTTTTAAAAGATATCTCTGGGGCGCCTGGGTGGCGCAGTCGGTTAAGCGTCCGACTTCAGCCAGGTCACGATCTCGCGGTCCGGGAGTTCGAGCCCCGCGTCGGGCTCTGGGCTGATGGCTCAGAGCCTGGAGCCTGTTTCCGATTCTGTGTCTCCCTCTCTCTCTGCCCCTCCCCCGTTCATGCTCTGTTTCTCTCTGTCCCACAAATAAATAAACGTTGAAAAAAAAAAATTAAAAAAAAAAATAAAAGATATCTCAATATCTTTTTATCTTTTCCCCTTCTCATTCTCCAATACATCTCACCTGTAATATAAATTATGTCTGAAAGACATAATTCATTCAGTATAACAGAAACATCATAGTTAATCAATAGCCACCCAGTGAGGAGATGTATTATAGGAAGGCAAAACATCTTCTTAATCCTAAAATGGTTAAATTCGATCTTATTTTAATGAGAAGTTAAAGATTCGGTATGCCCGAATCCAACTACAAAGGAGGGAGATCAGGAGACTAAAAGGGGATCTCCAAGACTTACAAAGCAGTCGGTGTCTTTTGGTCCTGAGCAACCTCCAGCACATTCTCTATGACAGCAGTCACTGACGTAGGGTCCATAGCACCTGCCGTCACACTGTTCTGCACACACCGTCCTTGTCACTGCAGAAGGCAGAGATGAGACTTTGATCAAAGTCAGCCACCAAGAGAAACTTCTAAGGTGCTTTGGAGTAGCTGACAAAGGCTGAGCTCTCAGGTAACAACACTCAACCCACCACTGACTCAATTCAGCTAAGATCTACCAAATGAAGTCTGCAAAATTACTGTACAAAAACCTTCAAAAATTAATACATACTTTTGTTTTTATCTTCTTTCTTGTTCCAGAAAGCACCTCTCGTATTTTACAAAAATATTGTACAACTTAGCAGGAAAGAATCAAATTTGAAGTAACTGAGTATGGCATTTTGGCAGGGTGCAAAAAATGGAGTCAGCAGTGAAATCAATTCACAATGTGCACAGTAAGATTTTATGGCAGAAGGTATCCCCAGAAATAATCCAAGCTTTTTAGTAGTCAAGGGAACATAAACTTTTACATGATTCACATTATATCTTACAAGATTCATATCAAGTAGATACATAAATAATGATACAGATACAGATAACTGGTCAATAGTAGCATAAGTGTTTCTATTCTTGAGATTTAAGTAAAATTTCCACCAAGATTCCTATGTAAGGAACAGTGCAATATCCTCAAAAGAAGTGAGGGAGGAAGGGAAGGAGCAAGGGAGGGAGGGAGGGAGGAAGGAAGGAGGGAGGAAGGAGGGAGGAGGGAGGGAGGGAGGGAGGGAGGGAGGAGGAAGAAGGAAGGAAGGAAGGAAGGAAGGAAGGAAGGGAGGGAGGGAGGGAGGAAGGAAAGGAAGCAAAAAGGAAGGAAGGAAGGAAGGAAGGAAGGAAAGAAGGAAGGAAGGGAGGGGCACATTCATAGTGGACACAACCAAAATTCCCATTGGTCTTTTCTTACAACATCCTTTGATCCAAGCTGACAGCACTGTATCGAGGTATGCTTTAGTAAAATCAGTGCAATAGGCTGGGCATCAAAATTATAGCACTGAGGGACACTTATTTCACTTATTCCAAAGAGATACTTTTTAAGTATTTAGAGAAATAAATGTTACAGAATATATATAGCACATCCCTTCTTGGCTTCCATATTTCCACTTCAATCTGCTTTCCTTTCATCTTTTTAAACAGTTCTTCAAAGCTTCCTTCATTGCTACTGTAGAAAGACTCTGACCTTTAAACAGTAGTATTCCCCAGTTGGTCTTGACAGTTTTCTTTGGGTTATGGGCTCATGCCTAGATGAAACCATTAATTCCCTACTTTTCACACTACTTATAGATAGATGACATCAGATCCAAATCTGAATTTTCTACTGAGCAGCAGCAAGTATTACCAGGTGCCTACAAAAGACTCATTTAGATACCTCAAGATGTACAATGTGGAATGTACACTTTCTCACCTCCACCAGTTGAGCATATCTGTCTCCTTTGTTCCCTTCTCTTAATTAGTACCATCCATCCAGTAGCTTAGTTAAAAATTTGGGATGTGTTTTCTATTTCTCCTTTGCCCTCACTCTCACTTCGCATACCTAACAAAATTATCAAATAAAATTGCTAACTAACAGTCCTCATTACTGTCCCTCCTCTCTATTCCAACTTTTTCAAAAACGTATATCTAAATTATTACATAGCCTTCTAAAAGGTTTCTCAGATCCCAATTAATCCTCTATGCTGCTCTAAAAGCAATGCTTGAAAATACAAGCCACTGCTTATAAATCAGTGTTGTTTCACAAGGTAAAACTTATCATCACTGTACTAAAGGAGGAAACCCATAGCAAGGGATAAAAGTGCTTCATCAACTAAACACCACCTCTATCTATACTGGTGTCTCTCACTGTGCTTTTCACATCCATCCATACACAAACACCACTTGTGATTCCTGATTTCTTGCATCGTTTGCAATTTTGATTCTCATTGTCTTTTTATAATGCTCTCATCCATGCTAAAAACCCTTCTTGTCTTCTTATCCTGGAAAATATTCATCTATAAGATTATATTCAGATGCCATTTTCTCTCTGAAAACTCCAGATACATCGCTAGGATGAGTTATCTTATCACTGTTTCTTCTGAACAAGGGAGAAAGTTAATGCAGACTGTGTGGTCTGAAGGACTACGCCCAAATCCTAACTCTATTCTTGTGATATGAACAAGTTATTGAATATCTTTGTATTTCATTTTGCTGGTTTTAAGATGGATTTAGTAATCATATGTGCCTAATGGGATTGAAGATAAATAGAGACATAGGTATAAAGTGCTTCACATGGCCCCTGTTAATGGTTCTCAGGTTAGATATTATTATTGTACTTTACATTGTATCTTTTTTTTTTAGGTTTGTTCCCTCTACTAAACTATTAGAGTAATTTTTTGAAGTCTATTGTCTTATTATTGATGTTTTTCTCCTTAGGGACTGGTACAGTGCTTGACACTTCCTATACAAGAAAGTAAGTATCCTTTCCAACTAAATAAATCATATATTGCCAACTCAGTGAAAGCATTTGGGTACTGCTTAATGGACATATCAAAGGAAAAGAAAAACATGCAGAGAACTAAAGAGGTAGGGTACTAGACCCTGTAAATAGACAATATTAAAATACCCAGAAACACAGCATATCAAAATGCAAATAACTGAATTATTGCTAATTCATACATTAGACTTAAATGCTCCTTAAATTTTGTTATTATTTCATGATTCTACATTTTCACTTGGACCCTGTTTATTTGAACATGATTATGATATTCATAAAATAATATATAATATTTAAGTATGAACTATATTCCTTTTTTGGACTTGATTATATTCTTACCTAGGTAGTAAAAGCAATACAAACATTAAATAGTTTAAACTGAAACATTTGGATTAATTCCCTGTCTTGCTTTTATTTTGTAAAAATAGAGTTATCTGATATAGAGGATTTTGAAAGACAGATTTTTAAGTCTGGATTTGTGACAGCGTATTTTGTATTTGCAGCTTGGGTCACATTAAATTTTGAAATAAATTATTTCTTTTGTAAGTATTCTAATAGAAAGTTCTACATAGTAAATCGATTTGTCCTATTCTTTTACCTTCCTTTGCTCAAATCTCATTCTCTCAGTGAAGTCTACCCCTATTTAATACTGAATCCGTTTCAAATTACTGATTCCTGATGGATGCTACTCTTTTTTTCTCTTTCTTTCTATTTCTCTCTTTCTCTCCCTCTCTTCTCTCTTTCTTTCCCTCCTTCCTTACATCTTTCCTTCCTTCTTTCATCTTTGTTATAGCATTGATCACCACCTAACATATTTTACAACTCATTTATTACATATTCTGTTGGTGTTTTCCAATGTTTAGAACTGTACCTGTCATGCATGTAATGGTTATTTATATTTCATATACATTATACATACACAATACATATACATATACACTACATATATGAAATATACCCAAATAAATTATATCTACTCATTAATTCTTCATATTCATACATGGGACTTATGTTGATGTTCCTATCTTTTATCCAAGTAGTATATTTATTTAGATATTCTAATTATACCATATAAAGAAAATACTTTTAATAGAGATTTTGTAAAAAATAAATTCTCATATAATTCCTCTCTTCCAGATTTAACAAGGCCTTTTTGAATGTACCCAAGTTGTTAACTGAAATAGCAGACATATGTTAAGTAAACAAATTATTAGATTTAAAATAGATATTATCCCAGTATAGTCTATTAACTTGCTTTAACTTGACAGACATTGCTCAGCTGGAAATAGCACAAAATGAGTCAGCATTAATAGCATATAAATCACACCATATTTTAATCTTAAACACATATGACTGTTAATTTCTATTTTTAACTCTATGGTGGTTTAAGGTAAGTATGCAAAATGTTTCAGTTTCTCTTTGTTTATATATTTTGGTCTTTCCTGTCAAATGAGAAAATTAATGTACATAATGTTTATAAAGATAATTAACTATTAATTTATTTTAAAAATATATATAAAATGTTCCTATTGAGTTCAATTCTCTTATTGAGTATACTATTTAAGTATGAAAATAATATTTTAAAATCTAATCTATCATACTTCAATCTTAAGTTCAATAATAATTATTATGTTCTGAAATTTAAAAAAAAAATTAACATTTATTCTTTTTTGAGAGACAGAAAGAAACAGAGCATGAGTGGGGGAGGGGCAGAGAGAGAGGGAGTAACAGAATCCAAAGCAGGCTCCAGGCTCTGAGCTGTCAGCACAGAGCTCGAAGCAGGTCTTGAGCTCACATACCGTGAGACCATGACCTGAGCCAAAGTTAGGTGCCCAACTGATGGAGCCACCCAGGTGCCCCTATGCTCTGAAAATTTTAAAGCATGTAGATGAAATTATTCATTCATACGTGTTGAGTCAACTTTAAATTGTTCAAAATAGCAATTTTATCTATCAAGTGTTCACATAACTCATACTTTTTTCAGGACACTTTGATCTTAGATACACCATTCCATTTCAAGAACCTGCAAAGAAACATCTCTCTAAGTCATTACTTTTGAAACTTTTGACTTAAGATATTAAAAAGAGAATTATGGGTTTTGCTTCAGAAGCAGTCTATAATTCATTTTAAAAATAAAAAGAAGTATGATATATTCAACAGTAAATAGCACTTCTTGCTATCCCAGTGTTCATATGCCTTAATTCCATTTGAAAGTTCAGTAAGTATGAAATATATTTAGAAGTGTTTGCTTGATAGGTAAAAATATAAGTAAGCAAAAAGAACAAAACAATAAGCTTAATCTCTAAACAGTGATGTGACACAGTTAAGAAACATTTTTTTCACATTGTTATATGAGATTTATTTTTAGAAAGAAAACATTCCCTTTGTATAATCTATTTAATGGCATTTATTGATTAATAATACTACTTAATATGAATTAAACACATCAAACTCTACTCATATTTTATTATGATGGAAACACAAAACAAAACAACAGTCCCTGAAATCAATGAGATAACTCACTTAGTCTCCATGGGAACATTGAGTTATAATTGCTTTCGTTATATTAATTTCCACC